CTTTACACCTATTTATTTTGAGAGAGAGAGAGAGAAAGTGCACACGTGGAGAGAGAAGGAGAGGGAGACCGGGGATCCAAAGCGGGCTCTGTGCTGACAGCAGAGAGCTTGATGCACAGCTTGAACCGACAAACCACCAGATCATGACCTGAGCTGAAGTCAGCTGCTTAACTGACTGAGCCACCCAGGCATCCTGGTATTAGCTCTTTCCTAAATGTTTGGTAAAACTCACAAATGAAGCCATTGGGTGCAGGGATTATGTCAGGAGCCTTCTGATTACTGATTTAATCCCCTTACTAGTTATAGGTCTATTTGGATTTTGACATCACTTAGTCTTGGCAGGTTTTGGGTTTCTAGGAATTCGTTCATCTAGTTTTGTGCACAATTATTCATAGTATTCTTTTATAATTGTTTTTATTTTCTATAGAATCATTAATGTCTTTCAGTTTTTATTTTAGTAACTTGAATATTCCTTTTTTCTTAGTCAATCTAGCTAAAGGTTTGTTCATTTTGATGGTTTAAGAACCAACTTTCAGTTTCACTGATTTTTTCTCATTGTTTTTCTATTCTCTATTCCCTTTATCTCTGCTGTAAGTTTTATCATTTCCTTCCTTCTGCTAGCTTTGGGTTTAGTTTGTTTTTCTTTCTCTAGTTTCTTAAGTTGTAAAGGTAGGTTGTTGATTTAAGATCTTTCTTGTTTCTTAATGTAAGCCTTTAAAGCCTTAAACTTCCTTCTTAGCAGCACATTCACTGCATCCCATACGTTTTGGTATGTTCTGCTTCATCTTCATTTGTCTCTAAGTTTTTTCTAATTTCTCCTTTGATATACCTGTTCAACTTCCACCATTTTGTGAATTTTCCAGTTTTCCTTCTGTTACTGATTTCTAATTTTATCCTATTGTAGTCACAGAAGACACTTTGTGCAATATGTATCTTTCAAATCTGTTGAGACTTAATTTGTGGCCTTAACATATTGTCTATCCTGGAAAATGTCCTATGTGTTCACAAAAAGAATGTGTATGCTATTGTTATTGGGTAGAATATTCTGTATATGTCTGTTAGACCTATTTGGTATATTGTGTCAAGGACTCTTTTATCAGGTTGCTCAATACATTATTGTGAATTGGATACTGAAATCTCTATTATTGGAAAACTGTCTTTAATTCTGTCAATTTTTGCTTTATAGATTTTGATGGTCTGTCTTTAGGTATATAAATGTTTATAACTATTATATCTTCTTACTATATTGAAACTTTTATTACTATATAATGTGTGAAATTAAGGTATACTCAGGTCTTTTCTGAGCCTTTCCCATGCATAGTCACTTTTTAGTTTTCTCCATAAATGGATACAGCAGTTGTTTTTGAATATCCTAGCCTCTAATTGTTCCTGTAAAGAAAAAAAGAGAAAATTGAAAGGGAGGATAAAAAAAAAGGTTGCTAGCTCTTTAAATCCTCTGGAAGTCACTAGCAGGAAGGAGAGGGGCTTGCAACAATGGGGAAAAGTGCAATAAGAGCTGCCCATCCCTTTGCACCTGTGATTAGAAGCAGCAATCAGCAATCTGAGTGTAGATCCCTGATAATTTGGGGGACAGCATCTTTCTTCCCCACTCTGGCTCTCACAAGCTGTGTGCAAACTGCTCCAGGAAGTCATGTGCAGCTGCCCATTAAATGGCTCTGATGAGGCATGGGCAGTTGTTACTGTGCTAAGAGCTGAAATGGACTGAAATTAACTCCAATTTATCCCTCAAGTCTTCTCATAGAAGTTGCAAACCTTCAATAGACTCTGGAGTTCTAAAACAGTTGTACCAGATTCTGCCAGTGCAGTTGTTATCTAGGTGGGAAGACAGATACACACACACACACACACACACACATCAAAGAAAGACAATGGCAGTGTTCTATAATAAAGGAGCATAAAGAGAACAACTAAATGTAATGACTGATCCTGATCTGGAGGGGAAAATGATGTAAGAACATTATGGGTTAACTGACAGAATTTGAATACAAATGTAGATTAGACAAAAGTATTGTACCCAATGTTAAATTTACTGAGTTGATAAATGTGCCATGGTTACATAAGAGGATATCCTGTTTTTAGGAAATATACACTGAAGTATTTAGGAGTAAAAAGCCATGATGCATGTAACCTACTTTTGGATGGTTCAGGGAAAAAAATGTTGTGTGTGCATGTATACCACACACATGCACACACATGCACATAAGGAGAGAAGGAGAGGGGGATAGAGAGAATGAGTGCAAACATTAAAGTAAGGATATGTGGGTATTCTTTGTATTATTTTAAGTTTTGCAACTTCCTGGAAATTTGAAATGATTTCTAAGTAAAACATTCAAAAATCGCTTCCAGAGAGAATTTTATGTGTAAAATCAAATATAAAATATATAAAAGAGGACCTATGGATAAATAGGGGATGAGGAGTCCTGCCCACTCGGTAACTTCCCCTGTGTACCAATGTAGGTTCTCTGTAGAGCCTGAGCAGTTAGACCTACACCTTATACCTGTGGTATTCGTTTCTCTTTCTAAAATGGTATCTAGTTATCCTAACATCATTCATTAAATGAGTCTTCCCTTACCAAACTCTCTGGTCTTTCTAAATATTAAAATTCTTTATATGTCATATTGGTTTTATTCTGAGCTATCTATTCTGTTCCACTGATCTAAGTTTCTGTTTTCACACCAAACATAATTTCCACAGGTTCTTACCAACTTTCATTCATTATAGGTCTTTATTTTTGTTCTCTGTATTTGTTGATTTTTATTTATTTGTTAATTATTATTATCTTTTTTACATTCTAATAAGCCAAGAGCTTTATTGATGCAGTAGGCACTTTACAATGAACCCAAGAGAGCCCCATCTTCCCAGGGATGTCTGTACAAATCCTGGAAGTTTTACTACTTCAAAAAAACAAGGCTCTGCCTTTTACCACAGCCCTTGGATCTGTACCTGCTCAGATAGTCCCTCCTCCATTTTAAATAGGCAGAGCACACACGGACACCTGGCCAAGATGCGCCAGCCACTCCAGCAGGCAGTTACAACATCAGTTCTGTGTTACTTGCGGACAAAGGCACAGACTATCAGATCCTACAAAGGATTTAAGAAACAGACGACTTCTCCCTCCACCTTGAAACTAAAATACACTTCAGCGGATGCATGTCCTGAAATAGTTTAGCTGGGAATTCCTAGGAAGATGGTCCAGTGTCAATCCCTTCTTCATCAGCCTGTGCATCCAAAATTCTTCTCAAGATAAGAGGAGTCCTTTTTTTTTTCTTTTTAAAGTCTTTCTTGCTGTGAGAACTCATAATGGAGCCTAGTTCTCCTACTGCTAATGCCTTTTCATGCCATTGGGGTAACACTGCGCTGCTGTTTTCTGTGGGCTTCTCAAACCCTTTATAAATGTACTTGATTGGCAAGTCAATGCCATTTCTGTCCAGTGAATGCACAGCCTGCTCAATTGCTCTGCTCTTAAAATCTGTAAGTACTTTCAGCACCATGCTCTGGGACCGTTCCTTCACGGCCTGATTCTTGGTGTTGATGGGACAGTTCTGCAAGGCTGAACGGAATGCTCGAAGCACGCTCCCTTGCTGCAGAAGGCCATCCGCCTCACCAGGGTCCGGGCATGGTCTGGCCACCGCTGCCTCCTCCTGCTTGCCCAGGAACCTGTTCTCATCAAACTTGTCGATGTCCACCCAATGGAAGTTCTGGGCCGTGGCAGGGAGTCAGAGCCTGCCCAGCCGGCTCAGCTCCGGGTCCTGCCCCGGCTCTACACCGCTTGGCACTGGCTCAGGGGCAAGAAGCGGCTGCCAGGGGCCTCCTCCACCTCCTCCGTGCACAGACGCCGCCACCCATCCCTATATTTGTTGTTTTAAAACTAAATTCAAATATATTTCTCCTGATACACTAGATGTTTACACAATCAGAATTACAATTTTGGGAGTTTTCCTGTTTTTTTTTTTTTTTTTTTTCATGTCATCCACTTTTCTTCCACATCTCATGCTATGGAATTATTTCTGGAATATACATGTTCATTGACATCTAATCATGCAGCTTCTCCCATCAGTGCCTGGGTGATGGGTACATTCTCTATATAGGCTCCTATTACTTCTCCCTTGCCTACTTCCTCCTTACTGTAAGAGTAAGTTCAGTCATAGCAGTTCCCTCAGACGCTTCCTTTAATCCTTGGGGAGATGATGTCACTCAGCAAAACAAATAATAAACTTGTCAGAAATTTTGTTTTTAACCAAACGAGATTTCAAGCTGATGAATATGCAGCTAACATGCTCTATTACCATGATACTATGTGGCTTGGGTGGCTGTGTCAGCGTGACAAATATAAATAAGCTTGGTCCCTTCCACTTGACACTCAAGGTGTAGTAGGGGGAGACGGTGACAGAGAATGGGATGAGGCAGTAGAGTCAGATAACGGCTGACAGAGGAGGTAATCCTATTTCCTGTGACTAAAACTTGTGAGATAAATAGGTCTTTGCTGTGGGGAAGACGGATGAAAGAAAGGCATCCCAGATAGACAGCAGGGACAGCAGTGGCTCTGATATTATAACACAGCCTGTCCTGCTTAGGGAACTGAACAGAACTCAGTATGGATGGTGCATCGGCCTCAAGGGGTAAGTGTTAAAAGAGAAGGATAAAGACGTAGGGAAGATCTAGTTTCTGAAACATCCCTTCAGAAAGATTTTAAGCCAATTATCTATGTTATATTTTTGTCTTACACACATACATAAAATTTCTATCTATATCATGCAATTTGGTTTTAGAAAATGATAGTGCTAGGTGGATTATAATTTTTTAGTAACCAAAATGCCATACTTATTTTTAATCATTTATAACACCAATAGAGCCACTCTAAGGCATTCAGTTTTCATACTTACAAGTATTGAATTTACTTTCAAACTGTAAGATACAATTGCACATTGCTTGAAATACTCACATTCCTGAATTTATAGTAATCATCCCTGTCTCATACCTGCACGTTGTAGCAAACACAGCTCGTTGATGCTTATATATTTCTTAAACACATCCATACAAACCTACAATGAAAAACATAACGTTACCTTTTTATATTTCATAAAGAAGACAAAATTTCAATCCTATCTTTCTGCTTATTCTCCAAGTGAACTTAAAGCAATGGAATAAAAAAACTGATGTTGGTTAACTCACAGATTTGAAATATATACTGAATTCACTATAAAAACTTAATTTTACAGATGTTCTGACAAAGAAATAGTCAAGGAAATAGCAAGATTAGCAAGCAATTGGGGAGGGAAGGAAATTCCTAAATATTCAAAATTAAAAAAAAACTTATTTAGGTCATTTAAAAAATAGCCATTTACTGACTCAAGGATAAACACACTGACCAATGGATTAGAACAAAGAGCCTAGAAACAGACCCACTCATATATAATTAGCTGATTTATGACACAGTGACCCTGAAGTGCAACAGGGGAAAAGGATGTTTTTTTTAAGTAAATGGTGTTGGCTTACAAAGGGATCCTCATGCGGAAAAAATATTTTTCTTGACCTTGTTTTCACATGAAAACCAAAAATCAATTCCAGGTGGCTTTGTGTTCTAAATGCCAAGATAAAACAACAGACCTTTTAAAGGAAAAAATATAAGAGAACATCTTCATGATCTTGGCAAAGATTTCTCCAACAGGATGCAAAAAGTTAACACCGTAAAAGGATCGACAGAATCGGACTACGTAGAAATTAACAAGTTCTGTTTACCAAAAGACACCTTAAGAGGGTGAAAAGGCAACCTTTACAGTAGTAAAAGTTATCTGCTATACACATACTCAATAAAGAACTTATACCCAAAATATATAAAGAATTCTTAAGGTATATAAGAAAAAGACAATCCCATAGAATATAGGCAAAATATTTAGAGATTTCCAAAAAGAGTGTATCCAAGTGTCCAATAATGATTTTGAAAGATGCTCAGCTTCGTAAGTCATCAAGGAAGACATCACTCCCCACTCACTAGAATGGCTAAAATTAAAATACCAAGAGCTGGTAACGCTATGAAGCAAGCTGAACTCTCAGACATTGCTGGTGAAAAAGTGTAATTGGGCAGACCACCTTGGAAATCTGTTTGGTACTATCAACTAACGTTGAATATATGCAGATCCTATGACTCAGCAATTCCAGTTTTAAGTATAACCCATCAGAAAGTACACATATGTTCACCAAGAGACACACGAAAGAACACTGATAACATCACTACTGTAATTCTCAAATTCAGAAATCCAATGAATCAAAAGTAATATTTATCAATAAAATAAATTTTGATATACTCACAAAATGGAATATTCAATATTACAATGAGAAAGAAATGTTTATAATTAAATAAAAAATATAGATGAATCTCAAAAATATTGAGCAAAAAGAAGCCAGGAACAAAAGAATACAGATTGGATGATTTATTTAAAGCACAAAACCAGACAAAGCTCATCTATGCTATTAGGGGTTAATGAAAATCTGACTTAAAACATATAACTGAGATAATCTGAAAACAATCTCTACTTCAAAGACTTTACATATTTTACCTTTTCATCCCCTTGCTCAGGCACATGAGCAAACTTGCATTGTGATCGCTCACAGCCACGTAATGTATTAAAATGAAATTTGCAGTATCTATGGGGTAGCATCAACCCTAGGGGCTTCTGGAACACCTAGAAAATTAAATAAATTTTCTTTCTGTGTTAATTGTAAAAAAATACCATAATCAGGTAAGAAAGCATTTGAAGGAACCAGAAATTATACCCAAAACTGCACCAAGACAAATTGCTTGCTGACTTGATAAAAAAATAAAACTCCCAACTTAATCTATATTTTCAAAAATAATGAAAAAAAAACAACTCAAAGTGGTTTGTCTGACTTTTTGCAATATTTTGAAAATACTCCATCAAAGTTACTACTGTTTTACTTTACATATTTTTAAAAGTTTTACATCCCCTCCCTTTCTCACATACTTGCCCTGTTTGCTTTTACAAAAAGTTAGTCCTATTTACAATATTTACCATATTTCAGATGCATTTATTTAGAACTCAGATTTTCCTTAGCTTTTCTGATTAACAGAAAGAGAAATGACAGATTCAAAATATATACAACAAACTTTTCCTATAAACAGCTTTAAATCACTAGTTTTCTCTTCTATCACCAGGAACTATCCATCCTGTATTTTCTGTTTTGGATATCCCCTCTCCACCCCGCCTGCCCAGCCTTCTGCTTTCAACTTCTTACATTATATGTGAATATCCTCTGAGTTATTACTCATTTTCTGCTTCTCATCACCAAGTGTCATTCAAACTGTGTAAACGTCCAGAAGTGCTTAACAAATGATAGGGAAATACAACCAAAATATGTGCTTTGTAAGATTTTTTTTTTTTAAATGGGGGACTTACCCCTACATTTTTTTCCCTCTTAAATATTTCACAAGTTTCAGGATTCTGCAGCTTTAAGAGAGAATGTTTTCCTGGAAATCTGAAATCTAGAAATGATTAAGAATCACATCAAATACCAATATGTTATAGCTTCTTCCCTTCATAACAATGAACAGATGACTACTACTATCTGCTTTAAAGTTTCACTTTGGACCACTCATACTCAGTTCACAGACTATGCTGCCATGTGTATTCCTGTGAAATTATTTACATCTTTGGTGCTCCTTAAGTATTTCTAGGCCTAACTGTAAAATTTTAAACTCATTTTAAGCTGAAGATACTTTCTTAAAAGCCTTAAAACAGCAGCACTGAACACTGCACTCAAATGACAGTCTCCATGTTAAACAAATATGATAGACAATTAAAATCTCTAAGTAAATTACTGACAAACCTAAGTGTTATGAAATGAACCCCACAAATTCATATGTTCAAGCCCTAAACCTCAGTGTGAGTTTATTTGAACATAGGGTCTTTTACAGAACTAATTAAGGTTAAATGGGGTCATAAGGAAGAGACCCTGAGCTGATGGAATTAATGCTCTTATAAGAGACAGCAGAGAGCTTGCTCTCTCTCCATGCACATGCACCAAGGAAAAGCCATGTGAGGACTTAGCAAGAAGGCAGCCATCTGTAAGCCAGGAAGAGAGCTAGAAACTAGACCCTGCCAGAACCCTGATCTTAAGACTTCTAGCCTCCAGAACCGTGTGAAATAAATTTCTGTTGTTTAGGCCATCTAGTCTGTGGTATTTTATTATGGCTGCCTGAGCTGACTAATATACCAGGCACCCTGTTCCTTAATGTTGGTCCTTTAAAATGAGAATTAGGACATCTGGAAATGTTTTTTTCTAAAGATATTTTATTTTTTTATTTTAAATAATTTCATTTTTCAGTTGGCAGCATTCAGACAGAATTTGGAAAAAGCTGAAGTTTCTGCTGCAGAGTTTTGCTGTAATTTCCATTACAAAATCGGTTAAGGCTTTTTAAGATAAAACACACAATCATCTGGACATGCTGCAGTCCTACACGACACCAGGAAGCACGAAGTCAACAACAGGAAGGGACAGTTAGGTGTGAGCTACACAAAGAAAATTTATTGTTTCCAAATTCATTCCTCAATCTAGCTTATTTTGTTCAAAAGCTTTATGGATTTTCAAAAAAACTAACACAAAATTTAAAATACATTATAATTCTAAAACATTCAACTAAAATATGAATATTTTAGGTATAACCTGAAATTTATTTGCACTACAACTATCACGTAAGTACAGATATTTAAGAAATTGTTCCATCAAAAGTATTAAGTAAAGGTATACAAACTTCCTAATTTTAACATATTCTAGGCTGGTTTTGATTTTTTTAACCTTTTTTGCTTTTGGTGAAAAAAATCTCCCACATAATTTCTATACTATCAAAGGCCAACATAATTATATTAAGAAAATAGTACCATTCATCCAGGGCTTCAGTAATATGTCTTCTTGATGAGCACTTAGATTCAAAGGTGGCACTGATAAGCACAGAGGTTTGGGGGCCAATGTTGATAACTGACATTCACCAACCATCTCTGAATTTTTAGGATCTCTGCTGTATGAGCAGAAAAAAACAGAATCAGAATTTAAATTTATTCTAAAACCTTTAAAGTAATGAGAATCGAGTGGAAACACAACCTAACACTATGTATATACTATATACCATGCTGTATACTGTTACCATACTATGATTCTTCATTATTTTCAGTAAGCGTTCCTGCCTTCTTACATAGAAAACCAATGGTTGTTGAATGGCCAGGGTAGAGGCAGGAGTAAGGTGGTTGGGTTAAAATTAGAGCAGAATACTTTTTAAAAAAATTAAAAAAAAATTTTTTTTTTTTAACGTTTATTTATTTTTAAGACAGAGAGAGAGCATGAACGGGGGAGAGTCAAAGAGAGGGAGACACAGAATCCGAAACAGGCTCCAGGCTCTGAGCTGTCAGCACAGAGCCCGACGTGGGGCTTGAACTCACTGACCGCGAGATCATGACCTGAGCCGAAGTCGGCCACCCAACCGACTGAGCCACCCAGGTGCCCCCAAAAAAATTTTTTTAACAATCTTTATTCACTTTTGAGAGACAGAGCGAGACAGAGCATGAGTGGGGGAGGGGCAGAGGGAGAGGGGCAGACACAGAATCCGAAGCATTCTCCAGGCTCTGAGCGATCAGCACAGAGCCCGACACAGGGCTCGAACCCATGAACCATGAGATCATGACCTGAGCCGAAGTTGGATGCTCAACTGACCAAGCCACCCAGCTGCCCTGAGCAGAATACTTTTGATCATGCCAGACAAAATGTCCAAGGAGGCACTGTGCTGGCATTCTAACAGAAAAGATTATCCAATTATTCTATTGATAGTATACTGAAAAAAGAATGAGTTATAAATTAATTCTTTGGGATAAGTATATTTAATAAATTTATACATGTACTTGAGAGCTTCCTTTGGGAAGAAGGTATAAAAAATTTACTGTCCTTGGTTGCTGATTTAAACAGTTTCAACTAGGGGCACCTGGGTGGCTCAGTCGGTTAAGCATCTGACTTTGGCTCAGGTCATGATATCACAGTTTGTGAGTTTGAGCCCTGTGCTGGGCTCTGGGCTGATAGCACAGAGCCTGGAACCCTTTTGGAGTTCTGTGTCTCCCTCTCTCTCTGCCCCTCCCCTGTTTACTCTCTCTCTCAAATATAAATAAATGTTAAAAAATAAACAAAAATAAACAGTTTCAACTCTATTTTAATATGTGAGATCCTATATAACCAATTTTAGAAAAACTTAAAAAGAGTTTGCTGGACAAAGCAGGAAAGAATATCCAATGGAATGAAGACAGTCTCTTCAGCAAGTGGTGCTGGGAAAACTGGACAGTGACATGCAGAAGAATGAACCTGGACCACTTTCTTACACCATACACAAAAATAAACTCAAAATGGATGAAAGACCTCAATGTAAGACAGGAAGCCATCAAAATCCTCGAGGAGAAAGCAGGCAAAAACCTCTTTTATCTTGGCCGCAGCAACTTCTTACTCAACACATCTCCGGAGTCAAGGGAAACAAAAGCAAAAATGAACTACTGGGACCTCATCAAAATAAAAAGCTTCTGTACAGTGAAGGAAACAATCACCAAAACTAAAAGTCAACCGACAGAATGGGAGAAGATATTTCCAAATGACATATCAGATAAAAGGCCAGTATCCAAAATCTATAAAGAACTCATCAAACTCAACACCCCCCCCAAAAAAAATCCAGTGAAGAAATGGGCAAAAGACTTGAACAGACACTTCTCCAAAGAAGACATCCAGATGCCCAAGCGACACGTGAAAAAATGCTCAACATCACTCATCATCAGGGAAATACAAATCAAAACCACAATGAGATACCACCTCACACCTGTCAGAATGGCTAACGTTAACAACTCAGGCAACAACAGATGTTGGCGAGGATGCGGAGAAAGAGGATCTCTTTTGCATTGTAGGTGGCAATGCAAGCTGGTGCAGCCACTCTGGAAAACAGTATGGAGGTTCCTCAAAAAACTAAAAATAGAACTACCCTATGACCCAGCAATTGCACTATTAGGCATTTATCCACGGGAGATGGGTGTGCTGTTTTGAAGGGACACATGCACCCCCATGTTTACAGCCGCACTATCAACAATAGCCAAAGTTACGGAAAGAGCCCAAATGTCCATCAATGGATGAATGGATAAAGAAGATGTGGTATATATATATACAATGGAGTGTTACTCGGCAATCAAAAAGAATGAAATCTTGCCATTTGCAACTACATGGATGGAACTGGGGAGTATTATGCTAAGTGAGATTAGTCAGTCAGAGAAAGACAAAAATCATATGACTTCACTCATATAAGGACTTTAAGAGACAAAACGTGGAGCGAACATAAGGGAAGGAAACAAAATAATATAAAAAACAGGGAGGGGACAAAAAACAGAAGAGACCCTCATAAATATGGAAAACAAACTGAGGTTACTAGAGGGTTGACAGGAGGGGGATGGGCTAAATGGGTAAGGGGCACTAAGGAATCTACTTGAAATCATTGTTGCACTATATGCTAACTAATTTGGATGTAAATTTTTAAAAATAAAAAATTAAATTAAATTAAAATAAAATTAAAATCCCCCCCCCCCAAAAAAAGAGTTTTCTGGAGTTTCACTTACCTAGAAAAAGAAGTAACTTAAGCAAGGGGGAGAGGAGGAAGTATCTCAAAGCTGACTAACAGACAACTAATAGATAAGGAAATCAGTTTTTTGGAGAAAGATCTCTCAGATAATATATTTTATCTTAAAAACAATTCTAACAAGCTTTTTCAGCTGGGGTTCCCTGTACCAGTGGAGAGTAAAAATAGAAAAGGGTCCCACACTTACAACAGTTGAAACTTACTAGCATTGACGGGGCTTAAAAATTACACAGAAAATAAAGATACTTCTCTTTCCAACTTGGGACATAATTAATATGTGCATTCAATAATAACCTCCCTCAAAACAAAAGCAATAACATACAATAAACAAATAAGAATTATGGAATTTTACAGATGGAAGAGATGATCTAGTAAAACTCTTTTTGTTTTTGATTGGATGACTGAAGCCAAGGGTAATGTAGTGACTTCAATGTCAACATTCCTGGTCATTATGGTAGATCCAAAATCATGATAAAACTCTGCAGGCTGCAATGACACTAGTTTGTAAGCAAAATGCTTTCAATAGAATAAAAAAGTTAAATTGTCATTTTTTCCTTTAAAAATTTTCAAATGGTCATGAATCGTACTGGGTTTCTGTGCCAATCTAATTCTTACCTAGCTTTTCCTTAATACAATGGTTCTCAAACTTGAACACATCTTAGGACTAGCTAAGGGGCGCTGTTGAAACACAGACTGATGGGCTCCATCTCCAGAGTTTCTGATTTAGCAAATCAGGGATGGGACCAAATAATTTGCATTTCTGACTCATTCCCAGATGCTGCTGCCACTACAAGAATCACACTTTGAAAACTACGTCTTAACATAAAAAGACTTGAACACATTTGTCACCTGATTTGAGTGTACCTTGCCTCAACAGCAAAATGGGAGTGCACGATGGTCAGGTGATCTCCAAGGTATCTTCCAACTCTAAGTTTTGTATTTGCATATATTCTAGTGAGTGTACTGTAACTTGCAGTACTCATGACCACAACCATGTCAGATACCTGCAAACTGCAATATTCATCTGATTTCAGCTGCTTTTACCTTCACAAATGTCACGTACACATTCTTTTTTCTTTTATCACTACTCTTTACTCCTTCCTTGAAAAATATTTTAATGGCTCAAAAATCTTTGTGACAGCTTTAAGGTAACTTACAGTATCGCTGACATCTGTGTGTACCTGATACACCAATTTAATAATACCCATATATGGCTTACGGCATAGTGGCCCAAGTACATAAAGCAGAGAATGAAAAACACACTCAAAATACAAATTATTTGACTATTTTAAAGTTACATAATTAAAAATGTTACAGACCTTTTGCAAACTTCAAAAATATTTTCTTTTTCTTCTTTAATAGTCACCTCTTCTGAAAATCTATGCTATAAGGAGATTATGGTTAAAAAGTACAAGTGAGTATCTCTGTATTCCATATTAAGCTGAGGCTTACCAGACATATTAGAATTTATTAGATGTTAATTAAACCACCACCTGATGGCCAACCAAAAACACAACTCTGTATTATTTAAAATAATGAATATTGACTTAAAAATTCCACTGTTGCTTAAGAAAAAAACTAATAGAAATAATATATTTTCTCAGCTTTTGACATCACTTTTAATTATACAGGCTGTCATTTAAAGTTATTATGAACAATTAAAGTTACATTTGTTTTCTTTCAGATAAAAAGCTTCAAATGATTTTTATTTTCAGATGGTATTTATGAACATAAATTTATTTTTCTCATTAGAAGTATCTATATGGGGTGCCTGGGTGGCTCAGTCGGTTAAGCATCGGACTTCAGCTCAGGTCATGATCTCGTGGTTCATGAGTTCAAGCCCTGTGTCAGGCTCTGTGCTGACAATTTGGAGCCTGGAGCCTGCTTTCAATTCTCTGTCTCCCTCTCTCTCTTCCCCTGCTGCTCGCACTCTGTCTCTCTTAAAAATAAATTTTAAAAAAATTAAAAAAGGAAGTATTTGTATGTATTTTATATATCACTATACTTAAAACATTTCACATTTGTTCTGGAATTGTGACTTTCCAATTATAAGAAAGTTCTAAATGCTTAAATATTAAACTTTTGAAAAAACAGGCAAGCACCAAGAAAACAAACCTCCAAATCACCTATCATTTGAGCAGAGATAACCATTTAATAGCTTACTTTATATCTTTCAAGTCTTTTCAATTTAAAAAAATTTTTTAATTATTAAACATTTTTCCAGTCTTATTGAGAATTAATTGATACATATTATGGTATAACTTTAAAGCATACAGCATGATGGTTGGGTTTATATATATCGTCAGATCATTACAACTGGTTCAGCTAACATCCATCTTTTCACAGAGATACAGCAAAAAGAAGAAAACAAGAAAAAAATTTTCTCCTTGTGATGAGAACTCTGAAAATGTACTCTCTTAGCAACTATTCTTTTTTAAAGTACATAATCACACATTACATAATGATACACACTGCATATACTATTGTTACGAAGAAAATTAGAAAAATCAAGTGAGAAACATAAAACATCAACAAATACAAAAATATACCATGTTCCTGAATGAGATTAAAAAAAAATTTTTTTAAGTGTTTATTTATTTTTGACAGAGAGACAGACAGAGTGCGAGCTAAGGAGGGCAGAGAGAGAGGGAGACACAGAATCCGAAGCAGGCTCCAGGATTGGAGCTGTCAGCAGAGCCTGATGCAGGGCTCAAACCCACCAGCAGTGAGATCATGACCAGAGCTGAAGTCCGACACTCAACCAACTGAGCCACCCAGGGGCCCCCTGAATGAGATTATTAAATGTAAAGATGTTAGTTCTCCCTAAATTAATTCATACACTTTAAAAACTACTTTAGGGGCGCCTGGGTGGCACAGTCGGTTAAGCGTCCGACTTTAGCCAGGTCACGATCTCGCGGTCCGTGAGTTCGAGCCCCGCGTCAGGCTCTGGGCTGATGGCTCGGAGCCTGGAGCCTGTTTCCGATTCTGTGTCTCCCTCTCTCTGCCCCTCCCCCGTTCATGCTCTGTCTCTCTCTGTCCCAAAGATAAATAAAAAACGTTGAAAAAAAAATTAAAAAAAAAACAAAAACAAAAAAACTACTTTACATATGAGTTTAAAGAACTCTTAGGAAAATGTAAGAACAGCCAAAAAATATTTTAGATTTATAATACATTTCAGAATCTTTTAAAGTATGCGTTCCTTGTTTTATTTTTACTTTGCTTGCCATTTTTATTTTTCAAATAACTGACAATATGGTATCAGTAAAAGGACCTGGGCAATCAATGAAACAAAAGAGAAGGAATAGTTCCATACATAAAAATTTGAAAAATTTAAAGATAGCATTTGAAATTTGTGAAAAAATGATACAATAAATGGAAGTAGAACAACAGTCTAGCTAACTGGATAGAAAATAAGTTTGGTACCAACTCACCATATGTCAAAATACTTTTTAGGTTCATTAAAGATTTAAATACAAAAAATAACAGAAATAGCAAAAACAAAATAGAGGTATAATTTGGAGGGTGGAGAAAGACTAAGCATGATACCAGAAGCAGAAACCATAAATTATGATACCAACAGATGTGGATATAAATATGTTAGATATTTTCTTATGCTGGAGAATACAGAGCACACAAAAGCCATTTGTCAAAAAAAATTTTTTAAAGGTTACATTGTTTCTACCTTCTTTCTCCTAAGATAAATTTTAGATTCACATAGATAAAAAATTCAAACATAATAAAAAACAACAGAAAAAAACACCAGGAGGAAATACAGAAGAAAAATTTTAAATCTTGAAATGGGGAAGAGCTTCATTAGAATACCCAGTGCTGGGGCACCTGGGTGGCTCAGTCGGTTGGGCATCCGACTTCGGCTCAGGTCACGATCTCACGGTCCGTGAGTTCGAGCCCCGTGTCGGGCTCTGTGCTGACAGCTCAGAACCTGGAGCCTGTTTCAGATTCTGTATCTCCCTCTCTCTGACCTTCCCCCATTCATGCTCTGTCTCTCTCTGTCTCAAAAATGAATAAACGTTAAAAATTAAAAAAAAAAAATACCCAGTGCTCATCACAAGAAGTGCCCTCCTTAATACCCATCACCCACTTAGCCCATTCCCCTGCCCACCTCCCCTCCAGTAACCCTCAGTTTGTTCTCTACAGCTAAAGACTGTTTTATGGTTTGCCTTTCTCTCTTTTCCCTCCTCCCCCCACCCAGGTTCATTTGTTTTGTTTCTTAAATTCCACATGAGTGAAATCATATGGTATTTGTCCTTCTATGATGGACTTATTTTGTTTAGCCTATTACTCTAGAGCTCCATCCATGTCATTTCAAATGGTAAGATTTCATTCTTTTTATGGCTGAGTAATATTCCATTGTATATATACACAACTTCCTTATCCATTCATCAGTCAATGGACATTTGGGTTCTTTCTATAATTTGGGTATTGCTGATAATGCTGCTATAAACATTGGAGTGCATGTATCCCTTCAAATCAGTATTTTTGTACCCTCTGGGTAAATACCTAGCAGTAAAATTGCTGGATCATAGTGTAGTTCTATTTTTAACGTTTTGAGGAACCTTCATACTGTTTTCCAGAGTGGCTGCACCAGTTTGCATTTCCACCAACAGCGTAAGAGGGTTCCCCTTTCTCTGAATCCTCGCCAACATCTGTTGTTTCTTGAGTTGTTAATTTTAGCCATTCTGACAGGTGTGAAGTGATATCTCATTTGTATTTCCCTGATGATGAGTGATGTAAGAATATATTTAATACATGAAAAGTTCCTACAACTAAAAAAATCAAAATCTCAGAAGAAAAATGGGCAAAGAACATAAAAAGGAAGTTCATAAAAAATGTAAATGGCCTTTAAATATACTAAAAGATGCCTAACTAGTCTCATAAGAAGAAAGCAAATTAAAACTAAAAGTCATTTGTAAAAATAGACAGATGGGACAAAATTTTAATACTGAGTTGGTTAGTGTGTGGGGAGAAAACTGGCATTCTTACCCAATGTTGCTGAATGTATAAATCACAGTCATCTTTATGTAGGCCAATCTGACAATTCTACTTCTAAGAATTAATCCAAAAATGCTTGCACATATACAAAATGCCTTATGTTCAAGGGTACATAATGCAGCAATATTTAAATTGCAAAAAATGGGAACAAAGCAAGTGTCCACCAACAGTGGAAGTTGTTGAATAGAGTATATCCATACAGTGGATAATTATACAATTAGAAAAACAGGGCATAATTACATACATTGAAAAGAAACAATCTCCATTATATATTTAGTTTAAAAAGCAAGATAAAGAATGGTATGCTACCGTTTGTATAAAAAGAATAAACAATACATCCACTTTGAGAAATGGCAGAGTATGTCTTATTGGGATAATCCTCTTGCAGTTAACAATTCTAAACCCTAGATAAAATATAAAAAAAAATCACTGGAAAGATATGAAAAGCAGGCAGAATCTGGAGCGAAGTCTACACTTGGAAAGAAGGAATAGTACTGACCAGCTCTTCTGCTTTCATGGTTTTATTCCTGAAGGCAGGCCCTAGTTGGAATCACCTGGGAAGGCCAAGAACTTGCCTTGCTGAAACAATGCACTGGAAGGCTAAATTTAGGACATAGTCAGAAACTGGGAAATAAGGATGAGAATCCAGGAAAGGAGAGAACCTAAGACAGGAAACCCTGAAATCTGGCTATACACTTGGTGCAAATCTCTCGCTGATCCTTGAACTGTATCTCTCTAAGGTTAGACTCCAAACAGCCCAGCTAAGGTTACAAGAACCGAAAAAATATTTAAACTAACTGCTACTGTGGAAGAGTAATCTGGAGGCTTAACTCACCTAGGTTAAAACCTAAACATACAATTACCATACAACCCAGCAAATACAGACTTGGGCATTGATCCCAGAGAAACTAAAAATTAGATTCACCAAAAACCTGTACACAAATGTTTATAGCAGCTTTATTTGAAATAGCCCAAAACTGGAGACAAGACAGTTGTCCTTCAATGAGTGAACAGCTTTTAAATAAATGGGAGTAACCCATCCCACGGAATACTGCTAAGCAATCAAAATGAATGAACTACTGATACATGCAACAAACTTGATGACTATCCAGAGCATTATGCTGGGTGAAAAAAACCCCAATCTGCAGTGGTTACGTACTATATCTAATTCCATTTATGTAATACACTTAAAAAAATTTTTTTAATGTTTATTTTTGAGAGTGAGCGAGCATGAGTGGGGGAGGGGCAGAGACAGAGAGAGAGAGGGAGACACAGAACCCGAAGCAGGCTCCAGGCTCTGAGCTGTCAGCACAGAGCTCGACACGGGGCTCAAATCCACGAACCGTGAGATCATGACCCGAGCTGAAGTCGGAC